TAAAAAATATTTGTAAAGGTATTAATGCAATCAAATTTTTAAAAGGACTTAAAGAACCCCTTAAAAGTTATTTTATTTAGTTAGTTAGTTTCTTTTCCGGTAATTCTCTTTATATAGATATCTTTTGGTTTGAAGCCCCCAAAAAATTAAATCTGGAACCGCTATTGGTATGTGTATTATTTTATGTGTAAGATTGTTATTCATGGAGTTCATCATAATTATTTTTTATAAAACAGTTTTTTCATCTCTTTATAATATAATTAATAATATTTAATATAAGCATAAGTTCTTTATACTGTATTCTTTTGTCTAGAATATGACGGCGATTCGATACATCTACCAGCCTATTTTAGTCGATAGTAGGTCGGTAATAAATCGATTCTACGTGCCCCTCGTAGCCGCACGTACAGACCGCAATCGAGCACTCCATTAAATGTGGTTCTACGCTGGACCATTACATCATCAAAAAATGAGTTCTCATGTGGTCAGTTCATTCGTATGATATTTGGTTACATTAAACTGCTAAATGTATTTTATTGAAATAGTATAAAATATATCTCAAATACTCAGCGAATATATAAAAGTAGAAAGGAAAAAAAATATCATATCTTTATGATATTTCAGATTTTCTATTACAAAAACACCAGACCCAAAACTACTCTGATAAAAAACATTGAAAATTGAGAGTTGAAATCAATTGAAAATCGAAAGATAATTTGTTTGGGTCCCTTCACATTGCGGAATCCTCTGCAATGAACTACAAACAGGTGGCTCATTTAGAAGAAAGCCGAAAATAGTCCCGGTTAGTATTCCCAAAATCGGTCTTGGTCTTGCACTTTGCAAGACCGCCTAGCTATTGCAAGACAAAAACCAATACCAATAAAAAAATAAATCATTTTTGTGATCAGTAAGACAAAATAGTTACTAATACCAGACAACTTTAGTTACTGTATGAAAAATATTGATGTAAACAAATTACTTTTGTATTTAACTGTTACAATTTTTCATTTCGCCTTAGTTAAGTTTCTCCTATCTGAAAAATTACTGTAATATCTCAATAGCAATAAACTAATAGATACTGTAAGACTGTTGGAAGACTCTTGCGCAAGACCAAGACGAGTCTTGGTCTCGCATTTGGGCAACAATAGTCCTGGTACACAAAAATCAATAAAATTCCTATAGTAGAAATTATAAATATAAATAAGCTAGACTCTTTAAACATGTAGCAAAAACAAGACGAACCAAAGATAAAAGTCACTGCTTCAAATAGAAAACCTCAAACAGAATATCCAGGAAGAAATAAACTGTATTTTGTATTCATCTTGCTAATAAAATCAACAATTCTATCTAGAACGGAAGGATACAAAGATGAAATATTTTAAGAAATTCACTGTGCAGTTACCATAAGTCATATATTTTGTAATAAATCAAGGATATTTTTAAAACTATTTAAGTTTAATTGTTCTATATGTTAGAAATTATTGTATTACTGCATTATTTAATCCGCCTTAACAAGCTTTCTCTATTTCTGTCCATCTTTCCGTATTGGAGAATTTAGAGTTCACTGCCTCAAACCTTGAAATACGTAACATATTCTCTGCTAATATTTTTTTCAAATATACCCATACGCAGAAAAAGAAAAAAAACAACTAATATATTACCACATATATAAATCTATTTTTGTATCATCACTCATAATTTTTGTACATAATATAAACTCCCGATATATACATATTTTTTTTAAAATAATGAAAAGTCTGCACCTATATTGTTGAGGATTTCTGACGAATAACTCGGAGCTATAAGCCCGCCGATCTTAACCTCCTTGCTTTCATATCATGATGTGATATTGATTGGCCAGTTTCCGTAAAGAGCCATTTATTTACTAATCTTTCTGATTGTCTTCTGAACTCTCCTTATAACGAAAAGTATTAGATAATAAATCACATGTGGGAAGCCTTGCTCTAGTTTTTGAGTGTGAATATAGTAAGTAAATAAGAATGACATGATAATGATTTTGTTCCAATTTAATTTTATGCATACTGTTACATAACAAAGCCATCAGGTGATGACATTATAAACCTTGGATATTTTCTGCTCTGATGATATCATTTCCCTAAGATAACATTTTCAATTCGCTTAATTCGTTTGAAAACTGGTTTTTCCAAGGTGACCCTGGTCAACTTCTAATAAGGAAATTTGAGGAAAAAACAAACTAACTAGATCCAATAGCTAGAATAAACGTTTTATTTTTATTTTGGATCTATCGGATGAATAAGAAACTCAAGAGACCGGTAAAGCGATTATTTCCAAGAAATTTAGAATAAATATTTCTTTTTTTTTTTTTCGTTATTTGCTGTTAGAGATAAATGATATAAGTGAAATTTTGTATCCAACTATGTTTTATAAAATTCTAAATTCTAAATGGTCACGTAGTACTTGAGAACTCAAAAGCATATTTTAATTATAAATTGTCTGATATAGCTTTTTTTTTTTTTCCTACGCCTAAGTAACGCCTGCTTCAACTGATATAGCTCTCACTACCAAAAATTATTTATTTTTTTTAACTATTCCTCAATCTGTCACGCGTTATATTTGACCGATATTAATCGATTTTTTGATAAATATTATATGAAAATAACCATGTAAAATGTCTTGAATTGATATGAGACCAACAGAAAAAATTAAAAAAAAAAAAATTAAAAGGTAGTTCTCGGACAACGATTCCATATCCATTAAAGCCAGTTCACTACAAAATGTCTTTTATAATAAGAAATTATTGTCTGAAATGTTGGTATATATTACAATTCTATTGCGCTTTACACTACTTCATTCATTATTATGACGCTCTTACTTAAAGATGAATGCAAAAAATTACAATTAACTACACTTTATAGGCTATTGTTTTAAAAGTTGCATAGTATTTTAGTGGGATAATAACATTGATAACCTTAAGAAATACGTGTTAATACTATCTGTGTTGTTATATTTAATTATGTTTGTACTCCTACTGTTCGGTATAATCTCTTTCCCATGTTTTTCAATGAAACAAAGTGGAATAATGAATATTCAGTTTGTTATTTGTTTTCCAATGATTAAAACCGTACATGGTATAGGTCCACTCACATCATCATCGGGGCAGAAAATAAAGCAAACTCAAGATCACACCACTCCGTCGCGTCAAGCACACAGTGGAAGAAATATGAGGTAATACATATGAAAAAAAGTTATAAAACAAACAGCTGATTTAGGAAACAAAAGACAGACGAAAAACCTATTTAGTCAGGTAAAAAGTGTAAATACTAATGATAAAAAAAAAAAAATAAATTAATGAACATCAAACAGAGGTTTTCATAAAAAAAAAAAAATAATAAAAAAATAGGTGTTCAGAAAAATTTTAAAGACAAAAAAATTACCAAGATTTATAAAACTAATCCAAGATGTTCAAAGTTTCAGATAGAAAATTATTCAATAACTTGAACATTTTTGATAAGTTTAATGAGTCTTTATATGTATTTTTGTGACATAGTTCATGGGTCATTTTTTCGTTGTTGATCAACTGTTTAATTATAACCTTCCTCTGTTGTTACTTAATCTTTCTTCCAGCATGTGATTGGATGACATAGAGTTAGTAATCGTGAATTTTTTTTTTTTTTTTTTAGTTGAAAGGATACCTGTATATTGGCGAAACATTGATGAGTTATTTTATTTTTTATCTGCAGTTCAGAAACGCGCGGATGTGTGGTTAGTAATGTATAACCACAGAGAGTAGAATATAAACTTCATTCTATACTCTATGTGTATAACTCATCATCGATTTTATATCTCTTTGTGAATTTTTGAACGTTTACATCAGTATGAAATATTGTGTATTTAACACACATTGTAACCTAAAACTTTATTATCTACGAAAACTCATTAACTCGGGACATTTTCTTATTAAATCGATAAATTTAACGAGGTTATAAAATTTATAAATACCCATTTGCTTTCAACTTGAATCCTACGCTATCTATACATGTTTTAGCATGTTGGGATGGATATTTAGCCAAACGGTTAAGTTAAAATGTGGTATTTTTGTAGGCTACATTTTTTCTCGGTTTTGTAATCAGATTATTTTATGTTTGAAGTGGGAAGCTGATTTTTTTTTTTGTTTTTTTTGCTCAAAACTTCCTTTGAATCCCTATACTGACCTTAATATTATATTATAAAATAATGAAGGTATGGATATAAATTATTATTATTTTATTTATCCTTTTATCATTATTTTTCTACTCACACCTGTTATGAGTACCAATAACCAGCGAGTGAGCTGTCGTGAAGAATTTTATGGAATTAGGCGTTGGTTGGCCTGAGGAAGTGCAGTGCCCCGCGGCCTGTCTTCCTATCTTGATTTAATATTTATTTCTTGTGCAGGCGATCCCTCATTTTTTTTTTTTTAAAGTCTATTTTAGATTCTTGTATGAATTTGCACAGCGACTGAATGATATCCCTATCTACCTATAGATCTGCTAGTCCTTGGAGGAAAACGCTATTGATTTGGATCAGAGGGTATTTCTGATTGGTGTTCATGAGTTTTTAATACGTCATAAAATATACAAACTTTACCGATTTCCAGATTGAATAGGCTTCATTTTCGTGAATTAATTTCGTAAATAAAAACGCTATAGGTTACGATTAGATGAAGATAGTTCACGAAGGTTTAGACGTTTGATGTTAATAATATCGATTAAACGTGGTAGATACATCGATATATTTTAAGATAAGAAATCCTCGATATAGTAAATGATCCTAGATGCTGCGGACATTTATCCTAAGTTGAGGATAGATGGAGTGTTCTCCCGTAATAGGCATTGATTTTCTAATTCGGTCGACAACTGGTGCTGTAAATATCCTCGTTAAAGAAGAAAGAGAATCCTTTGAAGTTACTACGAATCTGTTTAATGTTTACTAAGGTGTGGTCCTCTCTCTCTCTCTCTCTCTCTCTCTCTCTCTCTCCTCTATGGGGCACTATTTTGGGGCTGTTTGTTTACCTTGGCTTCGGTGGCTGGCGAGGTCCTATAGTTGATGATAGTCCCCTGTTTGTAAATATCATACCTAATCATAGTCGGTGATAACCGCTCTCGGGAAATAATGTCATGGAAAGGACGGTCTCGATAATCCGAACCCCTGGTTATTTGAACTAAAAAGAAAAAAAAACTTGTGTGTCCACTCACACGACTTTCCTAGTTTTCAGAATTTTTTTTATATCTTTAGGTATGTCCTTTAAAAAACAAAATTAAAAAAAAAATTGAATTAGATTCATTTTCCTGAAAATCTATCAAAGAAAAAATTTGAGCACGATTTCATTAATAAACTAAAGCAATGTAATTATGGGTTGATGGTTGACTGTAGTGGATAATGAAGAGAATTATAGTTGGAGTGATCAGTCAGTATAAAAATGGCAAAAATAAATAATAATATTTATTTTAACATTTGTCGACTTTTCGACCTGAAGTTCAGGGTTGAGAAAAGAACCAGATAACAATAGGTATGAGAAACATAAACAATGTAGGTAAAAAAAAAAAAACTTAAAGTAAAATTAAGTAGATAAGTGAACATTAAAGTAAAATAAAGTAGGTAGAATAATGAAAATAACAAGAACTAAGATATAAATAATAATAATAACGGTTACAAAGTGTGGACTAATGAATTAAACATAATTAAAATAAGATAGCATAAGAACTAAAATGGTAATCTTAGAATAAAATGTAAAACAGAGAAAAGGAATATGAAGTTATATAAGAAATAAATATAAATAGAAAATTGAGATATTGTAAAGTCTATCAAAATGTACTGACTACATATAAGAGAATAAAGAGTTAAAATAAATTAAAAAAATAAATGAGCAAATGTATCAATATATACAAAGTGGAGATGGAGATATGGAAAATAGGAAGGAGGAAATAAGCAAATAAAACAATGTAAACAACGAAGATCACAGTGAAAAATTCAATACACGCTGACATTGCTATCCAAAAACTTTTTCGTAACAGCTTAATTTTGTCAGACAATAATTTCTGTTAAAACTAGAAAGAAACGTGAAACTCGTGTGATGCGGCCACCATATTTTAATAATCTTACTTCTTTCTCTTGCTTTAACTCGTTTTTTGCACCGAGATTTGACCTCTTAATCTTACAGATGAAATCAAAATAGCTGTAATTTCTTTAATAGTAGTCCGAAATCAACGTTTTTTATTATATGGTTTGGCTACGAATTTCATTAATTTTCGGAATCAGATGGTTCTGAAACTTAAAGATTTGTCGCTAACCGCAGGATTTACCTAGTAGAACCAGAAAATTACAAAAAAGAAGAACGTTTTTTCCTCTCAATTAAGACAATTTATCTCTAAGAAACAGAAATTGGTTATTGTTTTTGTTATAACTGACATGTTAAACCGAAAATAAAAAAAATGGACTTATTTTCCAACTTTTTAAAATTTGTAGTTTACGTAGGTCGTTTTGTCAGTTCATCTATCTGTTAAGGGTAGGTACAGATGCCCTTAATTAAGTAAGTAAATTTATTGAATTTCTGTCTAAGTTTTAATTTCAAACGTCTCGAAAAGAGTGAATACAATCGTTGTAGTCTTTGTTTTAAAGTGTTTTTTTTTTTATCTTTATACTTGGATCCCATTCCATTCTTCAATAAATTGGACACCATGGTACATAAAAGAGCAAGTTTCACGTCGAAGAGTAAATAAATAATATTTGTCAATCAAAATCGTTAAGGACTATAACCAAAGCTTATAACCTACACATGCCTAAGTTACCGACCACAGACGGACATAAGAATTCTAGAATTAAAATTCGACAATCATTATATTTACATGTTTTTTAATTTCTAAAACGCAGATGTTAGATAGACACATCGAATATATGACAAAGAAAAAAAAAATGTTAAGGAAGAAAAAGAAAGGAAATCTGGTAGAGAAGGATTAAATAGGGCAGGGGAGAGGAAATGGCCTCCCTCCTTCGATGAAAATGTCTTTTCCAAAGCTATCGCCACTTTTCCACCCCCTTATATCCTTCCCTTAACATACAACACCTCTACAATATATAAAGGGTTTATAACATACCAGATTTATGTGTATATATATATATATATATATATATATATATATATATATATATATATATATATATGTGTGTGTGTGTATATTTATATATATATATATATATATATATATATTAATTTATATAAAATAACCATTTAAATTTATTAGGACTGTAAAACTTGCTCTTTCCTGCTCAACCTATAATAATCGTCTTCGGGATTGTAATACATACTTACATATAGTGTCACGTATATTGAATACGTTAAACGTTGAAAGATGCAAATAAAAAAAAATTAATTTAAGTAATTAATAATAGCAGCCTAGTGAAATAGATTGCATTTTCTTAAGTGGAAGTTTGTCTCAGAAACAGCTGAGATTTCCCACTAGTTTTGTATAAAGAAACAAACTAAAACCTTAATATCTTAATTTATGGAGTTGTTCTTTTTTTTTTTTTTTTTTTACTTGTTTATTGAGAAATATTACAATCTGTCTATATACAATGTTACAATCAGGCTAGAGAACTCCGAGCCAGACTTGTCCCTCCAACTATGGAGGGAAAAGCACGATTCCCGGAGATCTCTGCACTTATTTTTCATCCGTGTCACTGGGGGTAAACCGAGTGGAGATTGAGCGAGTGCACTTTTTTCTTTATTAAATTAATTGTACATTTCGAGGATACTTCGTTCTTTTCCTCAGCATATAATTTATCTCCGTATTGGTGGGAATTTGGATTATTAGTATTATTCAAACAATACAATGGAAAATTTAAGGTAGTTTTGATAATCTGAACACATAATCCGAAAACACTACAAATTAAGAATGGTTGTTTATGAAATTAAACCTTTAAGCAAGAAGTGAGGAGAAAATAATCAATAAAGAAACGTCAAGATTATAACCTACTTATAAATAGCTACTTTACCCCCTGGTGGACAAATATGGAAATTGAATTGATAACAGCTAACAAAGAGATATGCTATTACATGTGTCATCTCGTATATTGGATTTGCCTGACCCTCGTTGACAAACTTCTTGCAATCTGAGGACTGTTTGTACAAAGGACCATTGTATTTGTCACATTCAAATGAGGCATATGGCGTTGCTAATTGTGTTTGGAGCGTTGGACGCCGCGCCATACACCATGTGCCGTCCAGGTCGACATGTGTACCCGGAGGATGGTAATGTGGTCTGAGGGTCTGCAGCCAGCTATCGATTGGGTTCAAGGGGGTTGCATCTGTCGTCGCCTCGGTGTCTAATGTCTCCTGCAACTGCTAAGTAATCCCTAGTACTTACTATTCTTAGTATTTGTAGTATTAATAAAGGATATTCATCACATACTTTGATTAAATTAAAATATTCCTATTTATGATATGATATTAATTAATTAAGGAGAAAAACCTAGTTGGGCGTGATCTCGGTCAAATCATCTCCTTGCACAACCATTGACCAAGAAACAGTGCTTTCTAGTGTTGCCCAAATGCGGGACGGAGACGAATCTTGATCTTGTAAATTCAGTTTTGGTCTAGATCTTGGTCTTGCGCAAGGCTCTTGTAACAGTCTTGCAGTTACCTATTAGCTTATTACTAGAGAGATATTACTGTATTTTATTAGTTATGAGTAGCCTAACTAAGTCTGAATGAAAACTTAGTAGACTAAGTTTACTAATTCTTTACATAAGTACACTAGATCTTTACACATAGTAACTACAATTATCAAGTCTTAGTAACTATTTTGCCTCAATTTTTAATAGGCGGTGTTGGTCTTGGTCTTGCACTTTGCAAGACCAATACCGATTTTGGGCTACACTTTCCCCTAACAGTACTGAACCCAAGACCCTTCATAGGTTGTAGTGGTACAGGTTCCTTTTTTTTTTTTTTTTTTTTTTTTTTTTTTAATTATATGATGTATTACATCATTTGACGATTGATTTATTTATTTACATTTATTCGCAATACAAATTATATTCCAAATTAAACTTTATGAATTTTGATAAAATAAGGTCGTAAGTACGATATATCGATTTATATTATATTTGTGTAAAATAATATTTTTTTATACTCCTCAAATTTTGGGGAGAGAAGGATAAAAACAAAATGTGTATATATAAATATACCGGTTTTTAGAACATTGGTATCGATCGAAATATATGTATCTCGCCCTAGATGATTGAATGATACTTTCTTTTAAGAAAATTTTCTATGCGATGTTGTGTGGAACCTTTCATTCGTCAAAGTTGGTGTATAAGGCGATGCGTATATTGTCGATTTATTCTTTTATTTAGCAGTAATTAGGACATTCATGGTGCAACTAAACAAACGTTAAAGTAAAGAGGAAAAAAGGGCGATATATCGGCCATACTGGCCTTTGATATGTCGGTTTCGGGAGGCTACGATATGAACGTGGAGTCACCGATCTCAATGAAAAATTTTGGTGATAAATATTTTTTCTCGTATCCTTGAATTTGTGTCTAATATTTTTCAACCTAGCATACCTCTACCTCCGAAGCCTGTTCTAATCAGTAGTGGTAGGAAAGTAAGAAAATATAAATCATCGTAAATGTATATTTTGGTTTATTATTTTTAATAATGAAAGTTTGTAATCGTTTTGAGATATAGCGGACTAAACATGTTCCACTGCAAAGTTGATATTTTTTGTTTTGTTTTTTTATTTATAGTAAGTCTTACATCAAGTAGTCGAGATTGATGTCTGTATTACTTAGTAAATTACTAATGATGAAAAAATAAAAGTTATTTTCAGGCAGATATTAGCAAACACATTTTGTCTATTTCCTTCTAAGTGGCAAGGAATATAATAATAATAATGCTTTGTTTATTCAGGGAGGGGTCCCTTTGAAATAATACAGAAAGACAAAAATATGGGCTAAGGAGCCTCAGGGATACATAAACAAGAATATAGTTTAATTAAATAGTAAAAAATAAATAAAAAAGTAATAATAAATTATAAGTTACTTTCTAATTTAAATCAGTTAGTAATAAAAAATAAAAATAAACATGAAGTAAAAATAATGAAGAACGATCTGATAATTTATATACATATTTATAGTAGCAACTATTTACAATTTTATGAGGACGGGATGGAAAAGAAATTATTAAACACGCGGGATTTAAAGGTAGGATTGGATTGACGGATGTGGGGAGGGATGGGACATTTGACAAATAACTATAGTGTGACATTTGATTAATAACTATTTGGAAATAATAAACCATTGTGTAATAATTTGCAGTGTTTTTTTATTTTATATACATTTATCTTGGATAAACCGTAACTGTTAGAATATGGACCCTCAAAACTGGAAGAGCTCAACAGATTCCGGAGTGAGAGAGGGCGACCCACCCTCGCTGGAGTTGATCAATCACCGGAGCTGGAGTCGTTTATAATCTCCAGGACAGCCGCTCCATAATGCACTTCCATGACAAATGGCATTGCCTCGCTGCACTCATTGCATTCAAGGCGTCTCATTGGCTGCCCCCTGGAAGGGGTGTGGTCACCCTTCAGCTTGAATGCAGTTCGGATTTTAAACATCGCTCTTATTATATTTTGTTTTAAACATTAAATCCTTCAAATTAGTCAGTATTTTACATGATGTTCCTTAAATAAATGGAAATATTCAAAGATGTGATTTTTTAGGTAACACATTTTTTGTTTAATAGAAAGCGACGGATAAAATTTTTTTTTCAATTTAGGTAATTGCCAGTGGTTTCATAGTAAACTGAAAAAAAAAATTCCGCCGAATACAAGTAGAGATGTTTTTTTGTTAAAATCATTTAAAGGAGAATCATGTAAGTATTTATACACTATTCCAAGTTCTAGGTTTTCATAAAGTCGTGAATTATTCCCGATAAATTTTTATCATACTCCGACTGGGTTAAAGGCAATCAATAATAAGTTATTTATAAAAATAAAAACACTTTATTTTATTACAACTACTGTAAAAGCCGCTGAAAATATTGAAATATTTCAAAACTCAGATGGTTTAAGAAATTGATGAATCCTGGATAAATTGTGTTTTTAAGATTTTGATGCGGACGTCAAGACCTGCCAAATAGGTTATGTTATATCAAAGGAACTATCAGACCCTATGTTTTAGAGCCCTAAATTACTCCGTTTTCATGGTTAATCATTATTATTATCAAATAACATTTTAGAAGATATATTGAATATTCGATGGTTTCAGTGGTATATTATTGAGTAAGGAGATAGTCCGAGATGGTGGTCATAAAAAGACTAAAATATTTTTAAAAAAATTATTTAAAGTTCGACTCGACTTTGCAGATCATCTTCATGGCTAGAACGATCAATATATATAAGGCTATAGAAAAATGTGGAAGTTTCATAATGCTTAGATAAAAAATATTAGCAGTGTGAATAAATTTATTAAAATTATACACAATATGAATAGCAAGTGCATATAAATATTATGAAAAATAAACTAAGTACAACTTAATAACAATATTTAGTTTATTGTTCTTATTATTTATATTTACTTACTATTCACACTGTTTATAATTTTAATAAGTTTATTTACATTGTTTATATTTTTTATCTAAACAATATGTAACTTCCATATTTTACTAGTCTTTTGCATTTATTTATGGTATTCTTCGACATTCTACAAATCTATGAAAAAGATAGATGAACGAAAATTGTTGTGTGGCCAAACTCAGGAGAGTGATTTTAGACAATATTTTCAACAAAATGTTAATTTGACGCGTGAACAAATTCCGAACGGAAAAGGAGACCGATTTTGTGTGTTTTGAATAAAAAGAAATTGCTCAAAAACTATTCAAGATAATTAAATTATAAGCACACCATTGTAAAGCAGATAAAATTTCCTTTAAAAAAACAGTGATTACATTTACTAAGGTCAATGATAAAATGGACTTTCAGGAGGTACAATATGGCCGCTGTAGTGCTGTTGTTATAGTATTCACTCATGAGCAGAATATCTGTGTATTCCAATTGTGTGAATGTAATGAATAAGTGAAAGAATGTAAGAGCTCTTGATCAGTAATACTAGTATAATATTATAATTATTATCATTAATAATATTTTTAACCCCTTGTTCTCCTGTAGACATAACAAGGAGCGGAAGACGAGGGAGAGATTATACATGGCGAGTCGAAAGTCCACCTTTGAGAAGGAGGTGCGGTCGAGAATAGATCGCGGGATGTAAATCCGCCTCAGCATTGAATTTGTATGAGCTTAGCGAGCCCGTGTATTTAGCAATGGCGGCACATCCGCCTCTACATCAAGTCACATCTAGTTCTTTCTCTGTTTCCGGTCTCAGATTACTGATGATAGCGAACTTTGCAAGTGAATTAGACCAATTGCTGGCATTGTTTGGTATATGCATTTTGATTTCTGAATTATATTTACTAGCCATCGTAACGGTAGTTTCAACGAGAGTCCGAAACAAGAATTTTTGCCAGGAGAGGCACCTTCAACCGCCCTAGAGTAGTACAATCGAAATTTAATATCAATGTTTCATGTAATGTATTTCGAAATAAATATCATAAGTGATGGGGCAAATGCCTACCAGGATATAAAAGCACTAGCGAATGAGTCGATTAATGGAAGTGGTTTTTTATATGGATTTAAATATCTCAAAAACTAAAAATCGGACCTGTTTCTTGTTGGAGAGGGAAAAGTTCATCATTTCATCCTCATTGTAATGAACTATTGTTAAAAAGTGTATCTTAATGCTAGGCCATATTAGAGATACGAAAAGGGAAAAAATAGTGTCGTACACCGAATGGTTACGAGTTTTATTGATGATATGGATTAAAATATCTCACAAACTAAAAATCGGACTTGCGTACTGTAATGGTGAGAGATGTTCAGCATTTCATCCTCTTTATAATGAGCTATAATTTATAATTTACATTTCTTATTATTAATCTCGCCATGTTGATGTTTTCACTTCTATCGTGTGATCTAAATCACCATTCAGAAATAAATAGCTGAAATTACTTTGAAAGAAAAAAAAAAAGAGCCTATATAAAACAACTATTTTTTCACCTTTAAATCGGTAACTCATTTTAGATCGGATGCAATAATGCTAATTTACCAACAGTTAATCAACAAATTTCTTAACCCATTGTTTATTTTAAAGTATCTAACACATAAACATTTTGCAGATGACAAATAGTTGTACATGAGTATTTTATTAATTAATTAAATAAACAAAGTTTGTCATGTTAACAATTTGATAAAAGGGGGTCTGTACGGCTGACTAACTGTTAATCCTTGAATTGGAAAAGTATCAAAAGTTTAGATTTTTATTAATTCACTAGGGGGTGTCCGCCCATCGGACCAACCATTATCTTACAAATTATAAAATTGGTTACGATTTAATTGTATTACTCGTTGCTCAAATTGTATAACTTTAATTTACATGCATTCTGTAGTTGAGATTGTATTACTTTATATCAACATAAAACCATTTTTTTCATTAACATAAAATAAATTCTGTATCAACAAAACAAATTTTTTTTCAACGTAAAAAAACATTTCTAAAGTATTAGATAGCCTAAAAAGTATTAGAGGAGAAGGAGGTAACTGGATCTAAAATCATTTATAATCAAATGAACATCTGCATAATTTGTAAAATAATCACCGAGCTCCTGTTACCTCCTAACTTCCTAATATTACAATAAAATCAAATATAAAATTCACTAAGTTTTTTTTTATATTATAGAGAGTTGTATAATTTAAAGATATTTTTTTTAAATGTTTAAGTTATATTGTAAATTTGTGTAAGCGTAAGATTTTTGATCGGGACCCCAAGATACTCCCACGTCTCTCACCACTGCGCTGAGTTAAAGTGGCTTTTCCCCTTCTTCCGAAGACAATATTTCCGAGGTAAGTTCCTCTACCAAATCATCAACACCCATCGTCCTTCTTACGCCTACAACCTTCTCCAGTTCAAATCCTCAGTCCATTCCCTGTCCACAAGATCTCGATCTTCTAACCTTTACATGCCTGCTCACAGATCTGAGTCATTCCAAAACTCCTTTATGGTCCGCTCTGTAAATTTCTGGAATTCCCTCCCTATCAAAATTCGACATTCCCCACCCATATCCACATTCAAAACCCTCCTATTTCAATTCCTATCCCAAAACAGTCAGATAGTTGCTAAGCATTCGACAGCATACATTTATTTCATGCCATTCATTGTCAAATATCAATGCTAAATGATAATATTTTTATATATTAATTAGGTATTTTATATTGTCAGATTCAGCTTTCTGTTTTTAACAGAAACACAAAGCTGATTTTAATAAAGAATTTTCCTCCGAGGCGTCTGAAAAGAAGATGGCCTCGGGACCTTCTAATATAGAACTTTAATTTGAGTTCTACCAATGGGTTGTTTCTCTTCATGTTGTACATGTCATGTTACCAATGCCACATTTACTTATTGTATTTTCCATGTAATACAGTTGTAAATTTCAATAAAATAAAAAAAATAAATAAAAAATAAAGAATTTAATATAATTTTATTTTTTAATTCTTTATTGTTTTCTTAAAAGTGCATACTAGTCTATCAGTGCAAATAGCTTAAAGTGTCTTGTCATAGTGTTAATTGTTTTGTATATAGTTTCGTTTGTATTGTATATAGAATGTTTACCTTATATTTTCTTTACATTATTTCTTTTTTTCGATTGTTTTTATTTTGGCCAGATGTAGTCTTTTAATTTTGTTACTCTCATGGGACTGTGTCCCAGAATAAAGTTATTTTCAATATATCTATCTATCTAAATTTTATTAATTAGTTTATTTCACAACTTTTTGAAAAAATTACCACTCTAACTGAACAAGGCTTTTTCTTACTTCCTGTTCCGGTATCACTCACTCTCTTGCTATGCCTCACCGGCGGAGTTCTCAGCATTGAATTGCAGACAATAGTTATTTCCTCGCTGGAAGAGACAGGCTTGAAACACTTTCCCCGGCAGCCTTGGGTTATTATTTATCGTTCACGAAGGTACGCGCGCCTACCCGCGCAGGTACACGGGTTGAGAGATGGGTTCGAGTCCCGCATTAGAAGATCCTGGGGCTATAACGGAGTCCCGGGCATTATTCTCGGCAAATCGCTATTCTGACACGTCAGGGAACATGGAAATGCCATATTGAGAAGTCATGTACCTTCCATATATGGATTTCTCGTAGCCTAGAATTGTATTCCCGACCTTTTAACGAGCACACAATAATTGAAACGTGTATCAATCAAATTTTAAAATGTCATCGCGGTAAATTTATTAGTAGAATTGCATGTATTACTTCGAGAAGTCGTGAAGGCCTAGTTAACCTCACAACCTTAATCACAATATTACATTCATTGTGGAAACATTTTTAAATTAAAATATAAAATATTGTAAAATACCTTTTATAATATATATTTTTATAAAAATGATCTTGGATTAGTCTTACATAGTTCATAAACATGATGAGTGCATGATAAA